CTATTGGGTTGGAGGCCATCGCTTTTAGGTTGAAGGCCATTGCTATTGGGTTGGAGGCCATCGCTTTAGGTTGGAGGCCATCGCTTTCAGGTTGGAGGCCATCGCTTTTAGGTTGAAGGCCATCGCTATTAGGTTGGAGGCCGTCGCTATTGGGTTGGAGGCCATCGCTTTTAGGTTGGAGGCCATCGCTTTTAGGTTGAAGGCCATCGCTTTTAGGTTGAAGGCCGTCGCTATTAGATTGGAGGTGCCATCGCTTTCAGGTTGGAGGCCATCGCTATTAATTAGGTTGGAGGCCATCGCTATTACGTTGGAGGCCATCGCTATTACGTTGGAGGCCATCGCTTTTAGGTTGAAGGCGATCGCTTTTTGGTTGAAGGCCATCGCTATTAGATTGGAGGCCATTGCTTTTAGGTTGGAGGCCATCGCTTTCAGGTTGGAGGCCATCGCCTTGCTGTTAATTAGGTTGGAGGCCATCGCTATTACGTTGGAGGCCATCGCTGTTAGTGCCCTTTACCTTGTTCAATCCTCAAACATCATCTTTGAAGCTGTCCGAGGCAATGGGACTGGCCGAGTGCAGTTGCAGCGTCTTCCATTTCCCTTTGAGGGTCCTGAGAACGAGATAGTGGTTCCGCCCGAGGGTGCTGCTAGTGTATCGATTCAATGCGCTCCCAACTTCACAGGCGAAATGACTGGCTTGTGCTTTGGCTGTCATGCTGCATACACCGTACGCCTTCGCTGCCTCTCCCTTTGCAGAAAGAACTTCGGACACCTTAGGATACTTGACTTTGGACCTCTGAGCCGCAGGCGAGTGGCTTGGGGAGGCGGCTTTCAATACGAACCCTGGCTGCAACATGTGCAGGAATCTCCACCACGTTAATTTAGAGGACACGGCTTCTCATTTCGGAGAAATACTCTTCAATGACTGAAGTGTATGAAAACAAATGCTCAGAAACAGTGGGCTCGATGCGTGGAACTCAAGCCGGTCAACATTGGAACTTGGAACTGTCTCTTGGCTGAAGAGGAGGAGTTGTCTGGAGATTTTGCAGTTAATTTTGCAGTTCCTTTGGACTGACATTGCAGGAGCACGATGACCCTTGTCCTAGTCGCACGCGCGCCGAAATTGTATCATTCCCTTGCACAGCCTGGCCTTTAGACGGACCAAGTCGCCCCAGCCGAGGTCCTGAAGGTGAGACTCAGATGTATCAGCAGGAAGCCACCTGAGCTTCAGATGGAGCCATTTTCCGGAGCTGCTGAGGCGGAGAGCCAGTGAGCCAGTGGCACGATGTCGGACAAAGCAGCTTTTGGAAGACTTATTAGGTGTTCCCTCCTGCATGCTGCAGGTGTTGTCAGGAGGTCTCCTTCGTTACTTGCAGCCGGTGGTGCATGCCGAGTGGGACCGCTGAGTGTTAGCAGAGCTTTCTTCACAGTGAGTGGTGAATGTCGAACAATTCAAGTCATGCTGCAAGATGACGTCCAGACTTGCTGGAGAGGAGCCATTCGTACCAGGGAAAGAGGTAGAGGCAAATCTGGTGCTCCCAGAGGAGAACAACAGCGACTTGACAGATTCTGGCGGGATGGTGCATGAGATGTGCCTGCACCACCACAGCACCAATAAGAAATGCAACATATCCGACATGTCCCTTGCCCCCAGCCACTGGCAGCCTCCATTCAGTCCTGCTTGGAGGCTTGGGATGCAGCAGGCACAACACAGACGCCCCATAGCTGCAAATAGAGACCAACGCGTAGCTAGAATTGTAGTTCCATGCGGATCCTCAACAACGAGGCTACCACAACAGGGCCACAGAGAGGGGCCACCTCGGACCATCCGAGGTCTCTGGCTCAGTGCTTCTGATTGGACGAGGGGATTGCTACTTCTCCGTGAAGGCGCTGATGGCACAGGAGGCCCAAGCGTTGGGGTGCCTTGGGCAGCAAGCAGAGCCAAGCGCATGACCCAGCAGACCCACCACCTACGCGTGTTGCGAGTCCAACTGCAAATTAGCCAATCAAACATGGGCACCATGGGTACCATGGTTTCCATTAGCCTTAGCTGCACTGCCAGCACTTGCCTTTTGTGACTCTTTTGATCTTGCCAGGGTGCTTTTGTACAACAACCAGGTGGGCAGGGAAGTCTCACATTCACGTGTGCTCGACCTACACATATTACAGAACCATGATTTGCACTCTGCAACACGCTTCTTTCACGTTGATGCAGTGGTATTGCAATTCTAACATGCATCCATGCACCTCCATCAATCGTTGAGAGAGGATCTGGAAGCTGTGTCCCGGAGGACAATGGTGCATTGCCAATGATGGCCATGCCGCGAGATAGTGACATCCCTGTGATTCCGATGTTTATGGTGACGAAGGCCAGCCAAGCCACGGAACCTGAACCCAGAAATGGTTGCATAGCACGTGAGTCCTGGTTTGTGTTGCACGACCACGACAGAGTTGCCTTTGAACTGCTCGATGGTTGATCCTGGAAGGCAGAGGGTGAAGCTCTTCTTGCAAGGCTTCAGGAGGAAGCCCTTCGTGTAAAGCTGCGCTGGCAGACAGCGGCTTGTTGGCATTGGGCATCATGTGGCTGTACTGGATTTGTGGCCAGCGAGCCATGTGCACAAGCTGAACTCTCAGCTCACCTGGCGAGCTGGCGTTGGGGCAACGCCATGCAAAAGAGCAGAAATGAAGGGCGTTGGTTCTGTACAGTGGTGTGGTCCATATGGCACACCGATGCACAATGAGACAACAATGACAAATTTATCCATCAGTCTTTGCAGTCTTTGCAGTCTTTGCACTGTGCGCAAAGCCGGTGAGGTCAGCGCTTACACACTTCCTTCAAGGTCGGACAGGGCACCTTTGCTGTAAATTGCTTGTTGTTCTGGCATGTGCTAACTTGTCCGTTCAGGTGATAATGTAACCTGAGTTGGCTGGAGTGTGTCCAAACATGTGGCTTTCAACAAAAAAGAACAGCAGCAGCAGCAGCAGCAGCAACAACAGAAGATTATTGTAGTCATGGTTTGCTGAGGTCTCCATCCAGATTTCCAACACTGGGGTTGCCGACCTACGCTGGAACGCGCGGCCCAAGTTATCCTTTGGCGCCCATAGCTGCTTGAATGAGGAGATGCAGTGAGTAGCCGTTGGTGCAGAAGCAGCCGTCAGAAAGACTCAAACCCTCAGCATACCCCAACTCAGGCATGTTTTGTTTATTTCTTTTCAGGTAGATTTTCATAGATTTTCTGTATTAACGTTCATCAGGCTTCTATGAGACTTACATCTCTGGAGTGCAGAACTCCTCCATGGCAGAGTTTTCTTGGACAGAGGTTGGTGAAGATTTGAGTGACCTGGCTGAGGCAGTGCAGAGCTAGCCTTGGGCAGGTGCTAAGCGCAGTTATATGTACCATCAAGGTAGTAGAAGCATCAATAGAATGCTCAGTCGGCCTTCCCTTTAGGCTGAAGAAGTGCGCAATCAGCTTTTAAACTATAACTTATACGCGGCTTTCTCGGCAAAGTCAGGACCAGAGAGCAAGACTAAGTCCTGTCGTGGGCACCTGTCACCAGCTTTCTCAGGTTTGTGTTCTTTAGATATGCCACCAGCTAGCTAGATGGCGCGTAAATTGAATGGCAACAGCTGGGGAGTAAATGAAGCCTCGCACCTCTAGAGTCCGTGCCGCAGGCTTCTTCAGGGAGCACGGCCAAAATGCAAGTCTGCAACTGCCCCTGCCTTTCAGCTTTTCCTTTTATGGGCAGATGTTTGATAAGGCAGTTGTGTGTCGAATGCAGCATGGCAGTTTCTTGGGAGTTTCTTAGGACATTCATCCTAGTCTTTGAGGTCTCACTAAAACCCAGTCTTTGTGTTTGTTCCACACCTCTCATTTGGAGGTGTGGGTCACGTCCAATGGCTTTTTGGCCTTCGAGATCTTCGAGGGTGAAGCTCCACCTTTGCCGTTACCCTTCATGGCTGGGATCTCCAAGCCCAATGGGTCAGGGACTGAGCTGATGCACTTTTTCCACTAAAGCTGAACGCAGAAGTCAGAGCTTTTAAAGGCAAAGCTGGCTGAACAAATGTAACTAGCTGCCACGTGAGATGCTAGTAAGTACAGAAGCGGTTGGCCCCTTGAGCGGGGCTTGCTGAAACAGTGGTGTCAATGAGTGCTTGCCTTACTGGCTGCCAAAATGGTGGTCTTGGCAGAGTGCCACAGAAAAAGAAATCCGACCCCCTGTTCAATGTTGTGGACAACAACACTCGTCGTACGGTAGATATAGATATATATATATATAGTTATAAGTATATATAATGAAATCAGAGGGGATCCAATGGACCACACAATCCAAACTGGAAGCCTTCCTGTTGCGTGCCTAGGATAGTAGCAGGCTTTGGTTGGCCTTTAACGTGCCACGACTGCCGGAGACTTGGAGGCATGGGAGCCATATAAGACTCCTAAGGGAGGGTCGGGCACCATTGTATTCCGAACTTATCACGAAAGCTAGCGAAGCTAGCTGGAGTTACTCTTGCGATAGCAAGGTTTCTTTCGACCGGGTGCAAATCCTAACCGCTGATTTTTCAGGTCGAAGCCCCCCCCCCCCCACCTCCCCTCTCCCCACCGCCCCTCTCCCCACCTCCCCTCTCCCCACCTCCCCTCTCCCCACCTCCCCTCTCCTCCTCCTTGTCTTCCTCCCACCTTCCCTCCCTCCCTCCCTCCTGCAAGTTCGACTCCGTCCTGTCGTCGCTCTTTGGCATGCGGTTAGCGTTGCGTATCTTGCGGCCGCACTCGCTCACTCTCACTCTCACTGTCTCACTGTCTCACTGTCTCACTGTCTCACTGTCTCACTGTCTCTCTCTCTCTCTCATCTCTCTCATCTCTCTCATCTCTTTCTCATCTCTCTCATCTCTCTCTCCTCTCTCTCTCTCTCTCCTCTCTGTCTCTCGTCTTTCCGTCTCTCTTCTCTCTCTTCTCTCGCAGGAGGATCCGGGCAAAGAGCCACATATAAAGGACTCTTCACCCCTGCCTCCAAAAAGAGCGCCGTGTTTTTTCCTACCTCGCCGCCCTCCACTTTCCCATTCTGGAGCGCTAGCTTTCGCCCCCTCCCTTGGCCTCAAGTTATTGTATTATTGTATGGGCTTATTTGCTTGAACACTGAGGATCTCTTCGATGGAAGACGGCACGTGTTTTGTGGTCCAGTATGCCAACATGTCATTCGATCACCCAACGCTTCCCATGAGTGCCGGGTCGGATGGTCTCTCTTTTGAGATTCGGCTTTGCCAAGATACTTGGCGAAGAACTAGTAGCCCAGGAAAACAGGCAAAGCCAGCAAAATGGCGCATCTGAATGCTACTATGACTATAATTACTATATATAATATATCCAGTCTCCAGTCTGTGCTTGATTGGATTAGGATGGTCGAATCAGCATGATGTATGCCAAGTTTCCAGAGCCATCGCCTTAGATTGGCCTCAGATTGCCTGGAGTGAGATCTTCTTGAGCGGACGATGATGTCTGAAATCAAAGACTGGCCGGTTTTGTGTGTGAGCCGTGCTGCAACCTGATAGTGTTGCCAGTGTTGTCTATAATAGCACTCAGGCCTGCAAGCGACTACCGTGATGCTTTTATTGGGCTTGAGACCATCGAGGGGGATGCCTTGATGAACTTGCGCTCGCAGTTGCCCTTCGCCGAGCGGTACCTTGCTCACAGTTTGATGGCTGTAGACTGGCCTGAAGAGTGGCGCCAGAATGAGGTTCAGTGTAAAGACTCGGATAGACGAAGCCCTGTGCTTGACCTCCTGGTAGCCCGAAGTTCTATGGAGTTGGGGCATTCTGTCTGCATTTGTAGCATTTTGCTGCCCTGCAACCTATCAAGTCAACATTCGCTGTGGTGCAGCACATCAGTGATGCAGCGTTCACGCAGAGTTGCTCTTGTGCTCAACACCCGGCTATCTTTGAATCACGACAATGCTAATATGCGGTCCGTGGTCCCAACCTCAACAACACTAGCATTGTCAGCATTGTTGATTTATTAGTTATTGCCTTCCGGACTCATCGACAGGTTACATCCATCCGAACTGAAACAAGTCCCCATCTTTTGCCGAGGACTCCCTTCGCTGTAACTCTACAACCTTGGCTGCGCGCTGCCACCTGGATAGCAGAACCAGCCTCTAAACATTTCTAAACAACCACCAGCCTTGAGAGTTTGATACAGTTTTCGCATCAAAGCCGCGCTCGCGGCATGTTCATAGCAACCAAGGCTAGTGCAACGCAAGGAAGATTGCTGCAGGGAGAGTCTGTAGAGCTTTTCTACGATGCCATAGCCTCAGCTGTTATTTGTTACCACGATCACGACTTGCTCCTGCTACTTCTACCTTACTTCCACCGTGACGACAATGACGACAAGACGGCTACTGCTACTACGAGTATATACGACTATGCCACTACTGCTACTCCTGCTGCTGCTGATGATGTTGAATCCGGCATGGAATCTGGAGGTCTTGGAACTGAAGTTTCCGGCACATCTCTGAAGTTTGGCTCAAAGCCAGCCTGGTCCCGTGGCATGAGCACCAAGCGCCTTTTGCCTTGGCAACAAGCTCTGGAAGAAAACCCAGAGCACATCCCGGTCATATGCCATGGTCCAAACGGTGATGTGCAGAACCTCCTGATCCCAAAGTCCTTTACAGTAGAGCTGCTTGATTCAGAACTGGTCGTGTGGAGTTAGTTCCCTGGAAGTGGTGAGAGCGTGAGAGGGAAACCTACTTCCTCAAAAGGCATCAAGTCCTATGCTTTTTAAGTTGGCCACTGAGGTGAGGTTGAAGAGACGTGTGCTCTTCGTTTTCAGCTCTGGAGTGTGACAGTTGTTACCTGTGAACTTCTTTAGGTTATACCAGAGCCCTCTCAGATCATCTCAGGCAGTTTATTTGCAAGGCAAGGAGCTTCTGCAGTTGGGCGGGCCAGAGGAGCCATGTTTGCCTTCAAGGTTTGGTGTGCGCCCTTTTCTCTTTGGTTGTCAGTTGTTTGTTCATGTGTAAAACCCTAGCTGAGTGACAACCATCAATGTCCACTGTTCACTGTTGTTGATAATGTCAAACCGGGCTGGCTTGAGTCTTGAGGTCACTGGCATAGAGAAGTGTGGTCTTAAGATGTCTTAAGCATGTTTGCCAACTTCGGTGTCGTCACATCTTCACTATGCCCATGAGAGCTAGGTGCCCCTCCAAACATCTTGCGATGAATTCGCGCAGCATTGACCAATGATGACCAATGCGTTAGGCCAACGCATGACCTGAGAGGCCGCCAAGAGATCGACCCAAAGCAGTTTATGGAGGACCTCTTCATGGACCACTCGGAGGCTGGCTTCCTCCACATAGAGGTGGACGAGTCACTGGCTGACATACATCAGGAGGCTGTGGCTCAAGTGAAGCCGAAGCAGGGCATCAAGAGATCCAGGGACTCGGAGGAATATGTTACATTGAACCAGGCCAAGAAGTTGACGATGAACATCAGTCGCATGGTTGCGTACTCAATGACAGGGTACATCGTAGCGGGCGGCCAGTTTGGTGCCACCGTGGGTTTCCTGACTTCATGTGCACAGGCTCTGCAAGGAAATTAGTTCCAACATCCAAGATGGCCTCCCAGCATGGCGGCCCTTGGCTGATGCATGGCACGACGAACCGCAAATGTCTAAAGCAGGCTGTTTTTGACAAGTGTCGTGTCATGGTTTGTGGGGAAGTTGGATTGTTCAAGACCTCATCCTTGGCATGTGTTGAGAAGCATGCAGCATCCCCACAAAGTCGGGACACCAGGTGACGGGTGTAGCATTCGGCCCTCCTCAGCCTGGCTCGAGCGATGGGCACGGGAAGCAACATGTGTGCCACGCTTACGCTTGCCTGAAGCCTTGCCACTCGTCACCAGTTGGAGCCAGTGCGCCGATCTCGTTCCCTGAAAGTTGGAGTAGATCTGAACTGGCAAGTGACCCTTTGTGCTCTTCTATTGTCTGACAGCTCGGTAGTCAGCTCGGTTTCACTCGGTCGAGCTCCGACAATGTCGGATGGACGCTGCGGAGCCCAGGTGCCCAAGGGCGATGGACGATGCGGCCCTGGGCGAGCGCACCTGGACGGACGAGGGCCTCGTGCATTTAGCGCGCAATTGTCTCAGGGTAGCTGGGTCGAGGAGTTAGTTGTGGCATGTTGTGGCTCGTGGGAGATTGCACAGATGGGGGTCTGAGTCTCTATAGTATCCAAAAAAAGTAAGTGAGACACGATGATCAGTGGTAGCCAGACACGGCCGAGAGAGACAGGCCAAGTTGGAGTCGATTTCCTATGCTTTTCTGTCAAAAGCTCTTGAACACTGCAATCAAACATCGTGGAAACGTGCTACACATGATTGTCATTCTGGATGACGGACCTGCGACACCAGTCTTTCCAAATTGCCGATTTCCCAGCTAGCCGATAGCTTTTACGACCAGTCGAGGGCAGAGAGTGCTTTGAGGTGACGCAGGACAAGCTCTCCGTGCCTTTGCTTCGCAAGTGGTGGTCAAACTGCGGAGGACTTTCAACGCCCTCAATCCATTGTTAATCAAGATGCTTTCAATTTTAGTTTCCAAGCATGAAGCACGAAGGTAACTTGAAGGCACTTGTTTCACCAACTTCGGCTGGCATGAACAGCTAAAGCTGCATTGAGGGCATGTGTGATGCATCACCTTTAACGTCCATGCTCTCCACAGCATTCGCGAAAAGGCCTGCGGCAATTGAGGCTTGGAATGATTGGAGGGATTGTGTTTGACAGGTATGTGATGTGCGTGGACAGTGTCCAAGGATGTCAAATGTCTCCCACTCTTGTCAGAGATAATTCGAAGGGGCAAGGGTGATTTGGGTTGTTTGCAAGACCTGTCTTTTTTGCTTTTGCTTTTCTGGCAAGGGAGCCAGATTCTGTAGGGTTGCTCAAAAAAGGGGTCCAAACAAGAAGACAGCGCAACACTGTGATATATGATCTAAACATGTTATTATCAAAGGAAGTTTAGAGGAACTTCCGTGTTACGAACATTTACATCACTCATCATACACCACTCATCACACCACTCATCATACACCACTCATCAGACACCACTCATCATCCAGTGAGCTCTAGTTTCAAGAGCTCTAGCTCCAGTTAGCTCTAGTTTCAATAGCTCTAGCTCCAGGTTACGTGGCAGGCGCAGCACTTTGTGAACCTCCATGTGCAGATTTCGTGGCAGGCACAGCACTTTGTGAACCTCCATGTGCAGAGTTCGTGGCAGGCGCAGCACTTTGTGAACCTCCAGGTGCAGATTTCATGGCAGGAGCAAAACAAAATGCGTTTTCGAGAGATAGCGGACGCACGAAATGCGGTGTTTTTCAATAGAAGGGGTGGCTCCGAAGCTGGCAAGTCAAGCTTTGCGGAACGACGTGTGCGAGACGGTCTCGGGTCATGCTCGGGTCATGGTCGGATCATGCTCGGATCATGGTCGGATCATGCTCGGAATCGTCCCTCCATTGTGGTTAGAGTTTTCACTTGTTTCTTGAAGTGCAGATTTCGTGGCAGGCGCAGCACTTTGTGAACCTCCATGTGCAGATTTCGTGGCAGGGAACCGGGACACTCCTATAGGTCAGTTTGTTCTTATAGGAAGCTTCCGCCGCCGGCTTGCCCGGGAACTACTTGTATGACGCATTGAAAGACTATGGTTGCGGCCTGTTTGAAGGGCATGTGTGGTGATTATAGAATTCCTGGTTTGCAGTTTGGTTCCTCAATTTGGGTCTCTTTGGCGCCCAAGACATGTTTGGGTCCATGCGTTTGCACTGGGGGGCATGTGTTTGCTTTTAGGCTGTCTTTAGTTGGCTGTGACTTCTCGGGGTGCCTCCGCGCAACATGCCAGGGGTGGATGAGGGTCACAGCCCACACGCGCAGTTTTCCAGGCTTCCATTTGGCAGCAAAGCAAGCGCGAGGGTGCTGAATATGTTTGCTTTGGTACTCAAACCTGCGCCTTGTTTACCTCAACCACCGTACTTGTAGCGTCTCTGTAGTTTCGTCCTCGCTAAACTTCTCTCGGTGAGACGTCCTTGCCTTTGGGCTTGGCGGCGGGCTAGTTTAAAGCGTTTCTCACTGTATGTTTGAGCTTGCGGTTCTGTTTTTGAATGTGTTTTGCGCCTTTGAAACGTGTAAACTTATGACGAAACAGTCCTTGATGCGCATTAGCGGTTTTGCTTTTGTGAGTTCCACAAAAGAGCAGCAAACAGTGTTTCATTTTTGGTGGTGTCACCAAACACACAATGTCAAGCAAACTTTTGTAGGCCGTCCGTGCTTGCTGCACACAACTCTTTTAAGTTTCTGTTGCCAAGCAAAAGGCTCAATCCAACAGAGGCACTAGTAAAGAAGTGAAAGAAAACCCAGACCTATTCGTGCTTCTGCAGGCCAGGAACAAACACAGCAACCAACAGGACCACTCAACAGCAAGTCTTCCCCACACGCAAACGCAACAGAAGCTCAGATGTTTTTGTAATAGACGCTTCGAGCGCCATGACTAGTTCTTGCAGCTGGGTCTTTATAAGCTGTCAAGAGGATTGGGTCTCTGAACGTTCGGATCGATGGCATTTAGCATTTTGCAAGGCCAGGATGACTCCATTTCAATCAGAAAGTTTTTGCAGAAGACAAGCGGAGCATTCGACTCTTCGTGACTCTTTTGAAAGCGTTGCTACAGAGAATAGGCCTTGGTTTGTCCGCTGCATTGCCTTGGTGAGCCCGGACCTCCCATTTCAAGATGACCTTTCGCCAGGTTGGTCAGATGGGGCCATGAAACTCAAAGAAGTGATGTTTGGGGGGCAACAAGACGCTTTCGCTTTGAAAGTGCACAAAGTTTTTTGCATTCCACCCTGGGAGAACAAGCCATGTTTAAAACATGTAGCTTTCCCCCGCAGACACGCCAAACGATCCAAGCAAGAACGTTGGAGTGAAGCCTGGGTTGGGTCTGAGAACCGTAGCCACAAGAAAGCTTTAGTGTATCGAATTCTTGGATGGGAGCTTCAAGGTGTGGAAGCCTCGCACGATGCAGTAGCATCGCTCTATGTTTACAGGCCTCTGCGCCAGGAACTCGGCTTCCAGATGTTGCAGGATGCTGTTGCTGCAGAGCCGGTCCCAGTAGAAAACCTGAAGGGTTTGCCTGTGTTGTGCTTGCCATCGCCTCTGGCGTTTGCAGTTTCGTGCGGTTTGTGTGACCAAGTGCCCATGCTAGCCCGGTGGACGCATCCTTTTTTCCCAACATTGTCAGAAGGGTTGCCTCAAGCTTGGCTGAATTCTCTTTCTGAGCTTGTTTTAGGGGCTGGAAGCTTTGTTGCCGAAGAGAAGCTCCTGTCTTACTCAGCTGGGGAAAAACTGTTGGCATATCTGAGGAAAATGGGCTCTCAGGTCCTCGCCAGTGTGCTGGATGAGGACATTGCGTCAGGCATACGGGCAGAAGTCATTGAGCACCTGCAAGCCTTAAAAAACCATTTGTACGCATTGGAGGTTGCCAAAGCCCCACAAGTCAAGAACCTCGCTTGTTTGAAGTTTCCTTCAGACTCCTTTGTTCAGCAAATTCTTGCCAGCCTGGATTTGCGCAATAGAGCAAAACTCCAACAGCATGCTACAAGATTCGTGCAAATGCTGCCCGAAGCATTGAAACCATACCTTCAAGCTTGGACCTCAACCAAGATTGCCAGCGGAACAACACTCCACAGAGGGCAGTTAATGTTGGATGTCGGCTTAGAATTGTTCCACCGCGAGCGGCTTCTCGATGCAGGGAAAGTTTACAAGTATGCCTGGGGAGATTCTACAGACAAATGGGGTTTGGAGATTTACAACGCCCGTTACAAATGGGTGAAACAGTCTGATTGTGTGCACCTTGCTAGAGCTTTTCGCTTTCTGTGCGCTCATCCATTTGAAGAGGATATGAGCGTGGATGTGTTGGAAAAACGACGGGAGTGTTCAACGAGGCTGTTCCAATCAATCCACCTCCACACTCTCACTCCGCAGCTTTTAGGTGACAAGAAAACAAGTCTGGTTGACAAAGTGTCAGCCCACGTCCATGCAAGTGCTTTGGAAAGCCTTAACCTCGAAGGCCTGGATGAAAACTTTTCCAGTCATGTTGCATGGTGTAGCGACCAAGGTGTGGAGGCGGGCCTGCCTAACTTCCACGTGATGCATTCAGAAAAGGTTTTGCCGCTGTGGCTGCAGCAAGCGAGGGTTGATGCGCAAACTGAAAGTGATTTTTATGAAGAAGGTGCAAACTTCGAGCCGGAAGCCGATTGCAAAAAGCCTACCCCCCTTATGCCTAACGCAGTCCAAATCCCTGGAGTTTGCCACGCTGTGCACAACTCAACTTTGGGGCTGGATGCTGCTTTCAAAGGTTTTAGCGAATTCTTGGACAAGTTGAAACGCCTTTACTCCTTTCTGGGCAACCGTTTGAGATGCGAACGTTTTGTTGAGGTGGTCATGCGGGGGTCCCTTCATTATGAACACGCCAAAAAACTGTTCTCGAGAAGCTTGACGTCCATATACACAGAGCGGTGGAATGTTCTTGCAATTTGTTTGGAAGAGTCCTTACCCCTTTTCCTCTTCCTTCGCGCTCATTGGGATGAGGCTCGATTTGCAGACAAGGTTGACCCTGACCCTTCGGCCAAAGACGGATGGGCGCCGAAGAATGTCACAAACATCCTTAGGGACAATTATTTCCTATCCTTTTGGCGGATGCAATTGAGTTTGCGAACATGCTTGCTTGATTTCCAGTCATGGGCTGAAGGTTGCAGTTGCCATGGTGGCATGGCCTTTGGTGACAACACAGCTCTTGCCAGCAAACCAGTTTGGAAGCTTGAGCAACTGCTCCAGTCTGAAATCGAATGCCCGCGTGATGTTGCTTGTCGTTGCCCGATGGCTGGATGCCAGGCCCCCTTTTTCGCTTCCAATTGTTTGTTGAGCTTGGAGAATTTTCTCAACAAAAGAAGTGCTGATTTTCTTGTTGATTGCGAAGAGCGCTTGAGCACAGAGGAGTGGTCAAATTTGCTGTCAGAGTGGCAGCATGGAACATCTGTTCTGCTTGAGCAGCTGCGTGCCAGGCTCGACTTCTTTTCGCACCTACCTTGGATTCTCTTTGCAGGGGCTCATCCTGTGCCTTCCATGGCCAGGCAAGGTCTTCGGCGCGCTGAAGAATTGTGGAAGGCTTTGCCTCCTGATGTGAAAGTGCAGCAGCATGTTCATGTGCAAAATCTGTTTGGTGGTCATGACAGTGTCTTGAATGCAGAGTTTGACGCCTTTCTTGCTTCAGACAAGGCCCTGGAAGAGTACCCTCGCTTGGAAGAGTTCTTGGCGCCGTTTACTTTTGTCCAGGTGGCTGAAAGGTTGATTGAAGCTGCTCACAAGGATTTAGGCCAAACTAGGCCCAAGAACTTTAGCATGACCACCTTGTCTCTGAACATGCGAATGCCTGAAGTACACAAAGTTCTTTCCATGGAACATGCAGCTTTTTCACATCTGGTTGAATCATTTAGCAACGCTCGTCGACTTCGACAGTTTGGCGACATGTTTCCATGCCATCGCAATCACCCAGACCTGATTCAGTTGAGTAGGTGCAGGGCCAGCGATAAACATGCTGCGTTTGTAAGACAAGTGCTGTACAGGGACCTGCGTATGCAATATTCAGAAAACCAAGAAGCAGTTGCTGTTCACGAGAAGGAGGCCAAAGAGTTAGAGCGTGCTCGCGCCAA